TCTCTAAGCACCCTGAGCAGCAGAAGCAGCCATTTTACCTGGAGCCAGTCTGTGCCTCACCCTCCCAGGTCTGGTGCAAATGGATTGGATAGAGAGCGGGAACCTGTTCTTGCAGGAGTTGGCTTGCCCAACCAGTAAGGCAGAAGGCAGGGAGACCTGCAATAGGTGGAGCCAGAGCCAATGGCAGGCAGATGTCAGGAAGGTGGGTTCTAACTGATGGCAGACTAAAGTTGGTTGAGCAGAGCCCCATTTACCCCAATAGACCAGCCCCTACTCCCCCTAGCATTTGGGGAGACAAGGGAGAGATCCAGTGGCACCCATCTACATAGGCCTGCAACGTTTTTCTTCTTCTGTGGTCCATGCAAACTGTTTTGAAACAAGTTCACGGACATTTCTCTGAAGTGTAATTCTTATTGTTCAGTACACAAAATATAACAATGCCATATTCTGCAACGTTCTATTTTGTGATCATTCACACATGCACATATGCACGTAGAAAGACAAGACAAGAAAACCCCCAAAGTGATTTCTTTTAATTAGGGTGGTGAGGGGGGGAGAAACATTGGAATATATTTTGCCATCCTCCCCCCTCCTCAAAAAAGCAATTTAGTTGTTTTACTTGTCATCTATGATTCACTGAATAATTCTGTGCTCATGTTCCCTTGGTTTTTCATTATACTTTATGGGCCAGTGCTCAGGACCACAAACTTGAAACCGTCAGCATTTCCTTTCACTTTATTGGTTAGCAACCGCACACACCACAGGCACGTAGACATGGCTCTCTTGAGCTTACTAAAGGAAACATTGTTTTCTAAGTTCCCCAGGGAAAGTGTGACCTTTATGGCTACTTTACAAGTATAGTTTATTGATGTTTTCCTTTTGCACATTGCAGAGCTTACTCATTTAATGCAAGTGATTACTTTTTAAAAGAAACCAAAGCAACTTGCTGCCATTTAAACGGGAACCAAAATGGAAATGATTAGTGGAGAGAGTGGTGCTAGGTCCACAGGGACAGTACCCCCATTTCTCCCAGTATCCTTGTCCACCGCCCCCCAGCTTAGTATAGGCACCAAAGAGAGAGGGTGTCTATAGCAGGCATAGGCAAACTCAGCCCTCCAGATGTTTTGGGACTACAACTCCCATCACCCCTGACCACTGGTCCTGTTAGCTAGGGATGATGGGAGTTGTAGTCCCAAAACATCTGGAGGGCTGAGTTTGCCTATGCCTGGTCTATAGCGTGTAAAAGAATGTCCACAGATGGCCAGATCTCTGTTTATCCATTTCCTTCTGAGAAAGGTTTCGAGGTGGCTGCTTTTCAAACATGTGTGAAGCTGAATGTTGGAAGAGTCAAGGCAGACAAAAGAAAAAATTTCTTCAGACAGAGCAAATAATATGTAGCAATGACCGTCAACATGGATGACTTTAAAAATGGATTCAACACATTCTTGGAGGCTAACATCCTCAATGTCTGCTAGTTATGAAGGCTATCTACCATCTCCAGTGTGGTAGACAATATGTATCCCAGTTTCTGGGAATTACAACTGCAATCCCCAAACCAATGGCGCATTTCATCTCCCCAGTAGAATGTCCAGTAAAGTGTTCCTCTATTCCATCTTCACCTACAAATTGGATGGAGAATTTTAGGCACAAACTTTAGATCCAATGTTCAGTTGTTAATATTTAACAATTCAGCTAGATCATCTTGCTTAATAATGGTAGATTTAAAAATAAAGGAAGAAATGACTTGCAACAAGTGAGTAAACTTTTCAGTGTGCAAAAGGAAACATCAATAAACCAAACTTGTAAAATAGCCATAAAGGTCACATCTTTCCTGAGGTTGTTAGAAAACCATGTTTTCTTTAGTGTGCTCAGGACCATATTGTGCAACCAATAACATGAAAGGAATACTGATGGTTTATAGTGTACTGAGCAATGTGTATGAGATGAAAAATTAAGAGCCCAAAATTCTGATCCACCACAGACTGTGGATGTTCTTAGAGGCTGAGAGCCACATCACTCCCTACCCCAAATAGACACATGCTCAAGCTTAAAGGAGCCCATCTAAACTACATGTGCTACTCACATTGGCTTGATTCACGCAGATGGGCATGATCAAAATGGGGCACTGCCAACCTGATTCACACACAGTTCAGTATTTATTGAAAGAGGCATGTGGCCATGGTTGCATGGCTAAGTCAACCCACATTGGCCACATTATCAGGCAGAAATTGTCTTAAATTGATTGCTTTTGGGCATGATAAATATAAGTAAAATGTGCAAGTAATTCAAGGATAAACTCATGTACCAAAAATGTGGATATACTGTATGTAGCAGACATTTGTTTTTCTCCTTGGTATTTTGTACAATATGCTTCAGGGATGAAAGGATGAATCCCGGGTGTACAAGTGACTGATCTTTTTTTTTGTTTTGATTTTACAGGCTGCATCTTACTTTGAAGGTATATTGGTATGACTTTGTGTCACTACTAGTGATTGGTTCACATATGAATGCACATCTCCTGATTTCTCAGAGCTGGTTCACAGTAGGGATGCTTGGAAAAAAGTCATTCTTTGCAAATTCCAATATTAACTGACCCAATCAGCACCTCCTGAACTCAAGTGCAGATCAGCGCACAGCTATCCTACACCACTCTGAATTTTGTGATGTGGTTGTTCACTGATATGTGCATTTTGAAATGCACGGCTTAAATTTGATTTTATCAGTGTTTTTGATGAATATTTTATATCGCTTTATGTGAACAGCTTAGAGGGGTTTTTTGTTGATTAATAGTATCTAAATTTTGTCAAGTGAATGAATAAATAAATATTTCAGGATAAAATGCATCTAGATATGCATATTTTATAACAATATGTTCAACAATACATATTTATACACAATTTGGGGGGAGGTACTTTTATTTTTATTTTGTAAAAAGAAAAGTAAAAGCAGTTTAATGAAAAATCAGGATGGAATGGATTTAGGACTGAACATATGGAGAACTTGATGCAGACCAGAAAAACAGGCTGATCATCCATGCACACATACATTTCCAGTGCTTGATGACTGCAACATGGGGTGATAGTTGAGTGCATGAACTATCACAAAGATAAGACCACAGAGACAATAGTCTTATCACTTCAAACACAATGTTGTTGTTTTTTCCACAAAGTATCTGAAGACGCAACAAAGCGAATTGGACTCCTTGGCAGGTTTTGAATAAACATCCACATTTTTTAATTTTTTTTTTACTGATAGTAATCAGCTAAACAGTTTGAGGATCTATACAACTTTGTAACATGCAGAAAATAGCAATATTAGAGAAACCAAAGACTGGAACTGAGGGAAGTCGAGAGGTGGGGTGGGGGGGTGGGGGGTTCTGGGGGGAGGGGGGAGGGGGAGGGAGGAAAAATGGGGGGGATAAGGATATGTTTTTGGATAATATGTCTTGTTATAACTTTGAATAAAAAAAAAAACAACACAAAAAACACAATGTTTTTCAGTCAGCACAGCTGAGTGCTCCTCAGGCTTTATACCTAAGCAGGAAATCGCCACACATGTAGAAGGTTTGCACCACACTGATGTAACAATGGCCTTGCCCCTCCCACCTCTGTCCTTGAATGCAGCAGTGATGCAGATGACTGGAGGTCAAGCGAGCACTACCACCCCATACTGCCTTCTGTTATTGCTAATGCTTGAAATGGAGATAACCCCAGTCCAAGACGGAGAATAAAAGAGCAATCCAATGCAAGAAAACTGGAGTTCAGATTTACATCCATTTGCTTCCATCCCACTTGCTTTCAACGGGGCAGAAAAACAACTGAACCATGTTTATTCTGAAGAAAGGGATTTGCCTTAATTGTCTTCTGTGGGCTTCAGCCCCTTTATAGAAGCTGTGTCAATGCAAGCAGACAAAAGTTAATTTCGCAGAACACTTCTCAGGTTTAGGGTTTCTGAAGTGCCCTTAAGTAAAAAAACTGACTTTCAAATTCTGATTTACAGGTAGAAGGTGTCCTGTTAAGATTGCTATAATGATCATTGCAATTAAAAATAGCCAAGAAGAATTTCCCTGTAGTTTGATCAAGTGGATATCATGTTATTTCTTTGAAATAAAGTAATGCCTTCCACAAAGTCAATAAAAGTAATAAAACCCCTTGTTCACTTTTGAGTGCTACATTAACTTCATCTGTTTTAGTTACAAAAGAAGAAGTAAACAAACTTTAGCATGTTTACTCAGAAGTAAGGTCCACTGCTTTCAGTTTAGTGCGCTGAAGCTTGTGCCTTGGATTGAGGCCTTAGTCACACCATTCAAGGACATGTAATTAAGCAGGAACAAATAATGAATTGTTTCCCAGAGTGAGATGGCAGCCCCTTTCTCTCCACTGCCCCATGGCTTTGGAGAGGTTTGTGTCAAAACCTGTACAGTGGTACCTCGGGTTACATACGCTTCAGGTTACAGGCTCTTCAGGTTACAGACTCCGCTAACCCAGAAATAGTGGGTGGTCGTTTGGCGTTCGTTGATGTCGCTTGGGGATACAATGATTGGCTTTAGAGCTGCGTGCGTTTGTTAGCTGTGGATTTTTCAGTGAGCGATACAGTGGTACCTCGGGTTACATACATTTCAGGTTGCATATGCTTCAGGTTACAGACTTTGCTAACCCAGAAATATTACCTCGGGTTAAGAACTTTGCTTCAGGATGAGAACAGAATTCGTGCTCCGGCAGCGCGGCAGCAGCGGGAGGCCCCATTAGCTAAAGTGGTGCTTCAGGTTAACAGTTTCAGGTTAAGAACGGACCTCCAGAACAAATTAAGTACCGTATTTTTTGCACCATAACACTCACTTTTTTCCTCCTAGAAAGTAAGGGGAAATGTCTGTGCGTGCTATGGAGCGAATGCCTACGGATGGCGGGGGGATCTGCTGCAGTCGTGAGCAGAGGATCCATGGTTCCCCTTCCTTCCCTCATCTGTGGCTCGCTTTGAAACAGCAAAGCAGGAGAAGAGCCGCTGAGTGGGGAGGAGAGAGGGACAGAGAGCCTGCTTCTTTAAAGGAGCAAAGCGGGAGAGGAGAGGAGCCGCTTACATGAGGGTAAGCGGCTCCTGTCCGGTTGGTTCCTTTAAAGCAAGCAGGCTCTCTGTCCCTCTCTCCTCCCCACCCAGCTCGCTAAATAGCAACAAAGTTTTTCAGCTCGCTAAGCCGGGTATGAGCGGGGAGGAGGGAGAAAAGCAGAGCCTGCTTGCTTTAAAGGAGCAAAGTGGGAGAGGAGAGGAGCCTTCTCCCCTTATACCCCTTCTTCTTCATTGTTAGCAGCATCCTTCTCCACCCACCCCACGCGTGCTCCTTCTCCCCTTAAACCCCTCTTCTGCATTATTAGCAGCATCCTTCTCTTTTTAAAAAAATAATATTTATTGCTTTTATACCTTACAAAAAGATGGAAGGAAAAGAAAAAAGAAAAGAAGAAAAAGAAAAGAAAAAAAAACAATACAATACAATATATAAACAATACAGAACACAACATTAACATTAACACATTAAACAAAACAAAAGCAAAAACAATTCAAAAAACACACATCATACCATCTTAATATCCTCTCTTTCATTCCCTTGTTTCATCGACCTCCTCTCACCTCCCTTTTTGTATTCCATTTCTATTAATTGTTTCAGCAAATCCTTTCCATCTTTCTCTATTTTCCGTCATGTAATTATCTTAACATATTTTAACCTTATTTTCCATTAATACTATAATACTTATTTATACTTAATTCCTTAAAATATTTCTACTAAAGCTGTATAATTCCCTTCCAACATTTTTCTAACACTCATTAATTTTACATTATTTCCATATATAAATTTTAAACTTTTTCCAATATTCTTCCACCGTCTCTTCTCCCTGGTCTCGGGTTCTGCCAGTCATTTCCGTCAATTCCATAAAGCCCATCAACCTGGTGATCTTTTGTCCGAGGCTCTTAACTCTTTTCCAGGTCCCTTCTGCAAGTCTTCTTCATGTTTATACATGCACTTTACTTTGTCTTCTCCTGATCTTGTTCTTATTTTCCTTCCTTTGATGCTGAAAAGTAGATCTCTGGGAAATTCCCATCTAGCAATGTTTTTATTCCTTCTCGACAAGTCAGCCAAATCTCCATAGTTAGAACTGAAATTCAAAAGATATTTCCAGTCGTGTTTCAGAGTTCCTCCAAGTCTGGCAGTCCCCACAACTGCAGTCTCCTCCTGACCCAAGTCCAGGTCCCAAAGGTCAATAAACCCCTGCATGAGGGGATTTATCCAACTTTCTTTCTCCAATCCAAGCGGGGCTCCAATCCTAAAAGTCTGACTTTCTCTAAATTCAGTCTTGGAAGGCATCAACTTATAATCATCAAATTGCAACTGTAAGGCTGGGGCTCTCTCCCTCACCACTTGTGCCACTTTAGGTTCCACAACAAAAACTTTCTCCCCCGCCTTCTCCTCGATTTGCCATGTCAAAATAGATCCCTGTATCGATTCCTGAATAATTTCTGTATTAATATTGACTTTTTGTGCCAAATTAGTCACTTTTTGTTCCAAGTTATCAATTTTTATAGTCCTCGCATCCGTCTTCTTATAAAGCTGTTCCAGTGAATCATTAATCTTACAAAATGCAACCACTAAGGCTTCTTCTTTCAACATTCTTAACGATTCAAGGTCAATCCCAGATTCTCACAGTTTTATCTTGCAGATGGAAAATTCCCCCCCCCCCCAGCTCAGCTCCTGTAACAATTTCAAAGGCTTCCTCTAGGGGGAAACAATTTCTATTTGTATCAATCCTTTTAAGCACAGTTCAAACAATAAAATTAGTTTCAATTTTCAGTTACTTTTACTCCTTTTTAAACGCAGAAGGAGACAATGGAAACAATGTATTTCTCTTCTTTAACTTACTGTCAGCAGACGATCTATTCACAGTCAATGAGCATATCCGAAACTTCAATCTTGCTAGCAGCTCGTTTCCAGGTTCAGAGCGGTGGTAATTTGACTTTCTTCACTCTCTCCTGCAGGCTTACGCGATCTTAAGTTTCCCCCCTCTTCTCCTGCTTCCAAGGGGGGTTTGATGATTTAACCGATGGAAGTTTAATCCTTTATGAGAGACTTTCCAAGGCTTTAGCTTGCAGCCTCTTTGCTTTAATCTATTTACAAAAGGGGAAGGTGGACTTCCTGTTTGAAACCTCCCCGTTTCGGTGCCAAATTAAGACGTTTAAAAATCCAATTTTCCGTTCTACTCACGGGTAGTTGTTTTAAGATCAAATTGTCCACAGGAAAAAGTCAGCACTCTCCTGCAACAGCAATGCGGCTTCACTCCGTGAAAGAAGCAGTCGATTCGAAGCACCGCGCCACTCACCCCACGTCGCTCCGGATCCCCAAAACAGGGTTTCCCCGCGAGTAGGGGAGGCGCAAAGGTGCCAGCTGAATCCCATGTCCACAAGCTTCTCCCGCCTGTGGTTTTTAGTGGGTCTCCGCCTTCGCCGTGGCGGCCAGACCCTGATTTCCACGGAGCGGATTCCTCCCGATCAGAGGAATTCCGCCGTTGCAGGAGGTGCTAACCCGGAAGTCTATTAGCAGCATCCTTCTCCACCCACCCCACGCGTGCTCCTTCTCCCCTTAAACCCCTCTTCTGCATTATTAGCAGCATCCTTCTCCACACACCCCACACGTGCTCCTTGTCCCTTGAGTGCTTTTCCTTCCCTCCCCACTTAAAACGTGGTTACAAAGCACGGATCCACATGTATCCTCAGGATTTTTGCACTGGGTCACCCCAAATTCACCATCAGATCACATAGCATGTCCATGGCTACATCTTGCACCCCAAAAATCACGCACCCACTGTTGCCTGGGGCCGCAGTGGTGCAAAAACGTGGTTACAAAGCATGGATCCACATGGATCCTCAGGATTTTGCATTGGGCTACTCCAAACTCACTGTCAGATCACATGTCTGTGGCCACAGCATGAACCACAAAAATCATACATCCACTGTTTCGTTTAGAATATTTTTTTTCTTGTTTTCCTCCTCTAAAAACTACATGCGTGTTATGGTCGGGTGCGTGTTATAGAGCGAAAAATACGGTACTTAACTCGAGGTACCACTGTACTCAGAGATTTTCTTTCATTGTGAAAGAGGTTTCCATTTTGCTGCCTCATTTGCTTTAGAAATTATTTAGACTTTTGGTGGATGTGGGGTCCAACTAACCTGGTGTTTGTGAGGTGGCCACGAGTGTTATCATAAAACAATACTCCCCCCCCCCGTTTAAAAGGCCACAGATTGATTAATTTGCCAAACCCCTGGAAAAGAGGAATATTTTCCCTGGCACCTAAAGATATGTAACAAAGGTGTCAAGCGAGCCTCCTTGGAGAGAGCATTCCACAAATGGGGGGGCCACCACATAAAAGGCCTGATCTCGTGAACTTCTGCTAGAGGGCAGCAGAGTTTGCTTGGCATGCTCCAACCATACATTAAAAAGAATGAAGTAATGCTACCTTAAATATTAGTAGTGTCTGCTTTATCTCTTCTCTTTGGTCTGTATATACTTGCAAATGTACTCGTATTACAAAAAAAGCCATACTTCTCTGAAGAACTCTGTAGGAACCCTAGGAGATCACTAATGACTGTCATGTCATGAAGGAAGGTGTTTTGGAGAAATCTCATACATGATGTGGAAATTTATGGCAGCAGACATTGGCTGGGTTGCACAGTAACTTTGCTGCATCCTCCAATGATTCCTCTTATTGGCTTATGAAGTTCCACAACAGACCAATACAAACCAACCAATGCAGTATCATGTATCATTCCACTGATGGATTGCTCTGTGGTGGAACCTCAACAACTCTGTCATATTGCTGAACAAAATGATTCTATATGTATTATTAGTGCGGTCAAAGAGAAGAATGCATTGAAATCGAGGTGATTTGATATTTTCATCCCGTGTTTTGAGTGCAATGTATCCAGATGCACATTTTGGATGATATTGGGCCTAACCCGATGATGAAAGCACTGGCATATGAAGATATTTATATTGGTAATATTAGGAAATATGTTGTGCTAAATAGTTTAAGGAAAATTACTGGGTGAAGGGATTCTTTTTAAAGAATAAGAAGGCTTTTTAGTTCTCTGTTGTTAGCCTGGAAATCAAGCTGTACATTTTCTTTTCATCATAGCTAATAGGTTTATACTTTCAAGGCTTTTGTCTGTAGGAAGAGGCTTACAATTCAATTTATCCACCAAAGAAAAGAAAAGTCAGAGCTTTACAATGATCAAGAGGTAGCTACATTATCCGGGATATATATCACTTGAATAGTTCCCATAAGATATATGCCTAAAGAATTCTGCTAGAGATATCAGCTTATAATTGCAGACATCACCCACATACTTTCAAGCCTATATGATGAGTCATAAGGGCTGTAGACATGCTTCTATTTTCAGGATGGTGAATTTTGTGGCCGGCACCAAACCCCACACTTACACTGCTCACAGCCCAAGGAGCAATTTTTAATTTTATTTAATGGTGATGGTATTCTGTATATTTGTTTTTAATTGGGCCATGGATTTTAGCTGTGCTTTATGTCCAATTTCATTTGTACACATCATAAATCTTCTAATAAAATAAAACAATAAATAGATATAAAGTATAAAATATCCATGTGGTTTTCAAGGGCAAATAACCAGATAATGCATCAGAGAAGTCCAATCTTCAAATACATATAAGAAGATGAATAATGGTTATTTTGCTCTCTATTATATATTGTTTCCTAAGTTATATAAACAATCCTAAATCTCCACAGTGTTTTCATAAAGGAACGGCAATAATTTACATTTGATCAAATGCTAACTTTTTCTGTCTTTTTTCTTTCCTTTTCAAGAAACATTTAAATGGTCAATTAAATCCTTCAGCTTGCACAAAGAGTGTCTTATGGGCTCACGCTCATAAAGAAGGTTCACCACCTCTTTAACTGGCTCCTTGGCATTCATTTTATTTTGCAGGTGCAGAATGAATCCCACTTGAAAGTAAGTGGTCATGTATGCAGTGTGAATTATACACAAAACTCTGTGACACATTCAGAGTAATCTCACACATTCTCTCCAGAGTGAAAGGGGATCTTAGGCTCTTTAAAGATTTTATAGTTTTCAATTTGCTTG